GGGATAAACAATGTCAGTGAATCAATTCTGCTTGCCAACATTCCACCTGCAGAGTGTGATGCATACATTTTTCTTCACTAACTAAAATCCAGTTCTGTCCTACAGCACAGATAGCAAAGAATGGCTGCAGAAAACTTGGTTTCAGTTGTGTATATGTGGGACATATTCAGGGTATAAGCAGCAGAGAGTATTAGATATGATAAGAACATCAGAGAATGCAGTGACAGAGTGTGTGGAATTTGGTAACTGCCACATGGCTGCTGTGGAAAAAGGAAAGGTTTTTGTTCCAAGGGATTAGAAATTGAATACAAGGGATCTCTAGGTTATCAGGCCAAATCCGGCCCAGCAATGATTAGAAGTGGCTGCCATCTGACAGTTGTAAAGTAGCCTTCAAGAGAAATGTGGAGGTCTCAATCCAAATAGTTTTTGTGATGTGATCATGATCCATTGCTATCACAACATCACGCGTTGGACCCCTTTGGGCAATCTCAGGAAAAAAGGCCTGATTCATATGTTGAGTGAATCCTTCAAGGTCAGAGCTGAAGCACATTACCGTGTCACTGAAGGGATGTTTATATTGTCCATGCTGTGCCTGTTTTGTAGATACTAGAGGACTTCCACCTTTCATGAGCACTTAAATCCTACAAAAATGGCTGTTTTTTTTAATAGGATGTTTGTGTTGAATTTGTGGGTTCCATTTGTCTGAGTTACATTTTTTTTCCCGTGTCATCTCATTGTGATGGGAGTTTGAGAGGCTTAGTCTGAAATTAATCAAAGTGCATGTTTGTGATGTTACGAAGACAATTTATTAAAATGCCATTCAGAAAGAGTTCTTAGATGTTTTGACAAAGTCTGTCCATTGTGGACATTAAATTTTTTAAATTTTAGTAATTTCCAGATTATTTAGATTAATAAATATAGATTTATGTTTGTAAATCATGGATTAAACTTTTACCATGTTTAATTACCTATTTTTTTTCAGTTGCATAGGAATTGCCAGATTAGGTCTGATCCAAGATGCATATAGTCCAGTATCCTGCCTCTGACACCCGCCAACATCAGATGCTTCAGAGGAAAGTGCAAGAAATTAACCATTAGGCAGATGTGGGATACTTGCTCGCCTGCCCCAGGAATGTCTTCTCCTTAATGTAATATTTAGAAATTGGCTTAGGACCTAAAACATGAGGGTTTATAAACTTTCTAAAACCTTTTTTTAATTTACTTCTGGATACTCATTCATTTAAATGTACGGTCCCTTTTTTAATCTTGCTAAATTCTTGGTTTCTATGACGTCCTGCAGCAATGACTTCCATAGTCTAATTATGCATTCTCACCAGGTACAAAAATAACTAAGCCATAGTAAACTTCTGGGATTTTCATTCTTGCCTGTATACAGGCAGTCCCCGGGTTACGTACAAGATAGGGACTGTAGGTTTGTTCTTAAGTTGAATCTGTATGTAAGTCGGAACTGGCGTCCAGATTCAGCCGCTGCTGAAACTGATCAGTTTCA